CTCTGTGAGTTTACTCCTCGTGGCTAGGAACGCCATTGCTGTTTTAATGTTCATTTGGTAATCAACCACACTGGTAAACTTGGTCACTAAATCTGTCTGCAAGTCTTTTTGTGGAGTTTCTGGAGTTTTCTTTCTAGAATATCATGTTACCTACCAATAACAATAACTTATTCCTTCCTGTTTTTAGGGCTTTTAATTCTTTCCCTTGTCTACTTTCTCTAGCTAATATATCCACAAGTATATTGAATAGGAGTGGTGATGGTGAACATCCTTGTCTTGTTTTTGATTTTATAGGAAAGCTTTCAGTTTTTCACTATGTAGTATGATGTTGGCTATTGGGTTGTCCTTAAAGGTTTTTGTGAGGTTGATGCAAAAACCATCTAGTCCAATTTACTTTTCAATTTTCCCTCATGAGTGGGTATTGGACTTTGTCAAAAGCTTTTCTGCATGTATTGAGATGCTCATGTGATTTCTCTTTTTGGCTATGTTAACACGGTATATTTTGCATATGCTGAGCCAACCCAACATCTATGGTGTTAACCTACTTAGTCATGATGTATAATCCTGATGAATTATTGAATTCTGTGTCACCTAATTCTCAACTCTTGGGTATCTGTATTTTACACTTCTCAATGTCATTATAAGCCATGGCTATAGAGCTCACCTAGGAGGTTTGGCTGCACATGGCACCTGCTCAGATGATGCTGAAAGAAATGTGATGTTGGAGGCCTGCATTCACCTTATCACTGTGGGAAAGCAGACAGGAGAACAGGAGTGCACCAGAGTGCATGTGCTTTTAAAAACATATCAACAATATAAGAAACCTGGGTAACATTGTTAATCAGGTTATAAAACTTTCAACATCCTGGGCCGCTATCAGTGTTGTGTTAGAATTGTATCCCAGTGAGAGAGCAGGGAAGCTTCCTCCGTATTTACAACTACTCCTTCCTGCTTCTTTTACTGTCTAAGCTCTTCTTCCTCCAGAAAAGAAGGACGGGCAAGTCACTCTCTCAGAGAAGAGGGATCCCTATTATAAACAGCGTATTACACAAATGTACACTTCTGAATAACACTCAGGCAACCTCTACTTCCCATAACCTCCTGGGGGGAGAAATCGTCTTCCAAAAAATGAGTCTGTGATGTCTGAAAAATTGGGAGCCTTCTGAATTAAGTTGTCTAAGGAAATTGAAACCTTTAGAGAAGCACAATGTTTATGTCCCTGCTTCACCATTAAGAACAACAAATGCTCTCTTGTATTTGTTGCCCTTGCTGCTAAATATTTGTCTATCTTTAGAAAAGAACTTTCTATCATCTCTCAAGTACATTATTTCCCTTAATGACTCTTTTTCTAGCCACTGCAATTCCAAACCTGAGGCAACCCTCATGTTGGAGCGCGGAGAAGAGCCGTGGTTCTTGGAAGACAAAGTCCTAATTCAGAAGTATCAGGTGATTGAGCAATGACTAAAGGATACTTGGGGTGTCTTTCATCTTGAGGTACATGTGCAAGCCAGCCTTCTGTCAGTGTAACCAGTATTTGAGATCATCAAATTGTAAATAGAAAAGGTTCATTTTGGCTCCCAGCTCTTAGAGCTTGAGCCAAGACCAAGTGATCTCTCTGTTTTGGGTCTCTTATGAGCACACAATGGTATAGTGGGAGCATGGGAATACAAAGCTCAGCTCACAATCTGTCAAGGAAAGGAAGATTCCAGAGGGGATGGGTACCCACTGGCCTATTTTGTGGGCACACACACCCTCTAAGAACCCCACCTCTCAAGGTTTCCACCCTCTTCTAGTTTTGCCACCATTGGCACATGAAGCTTTAGCAGACACTACTTATGGTCAACTTTAACTAAAGGGGAGACATTTGAAAGAGTCATTTTCTTAACAGCTCTATTGAGATATATTTATAATTAATACATGGTTCAATCTGAGCCACATATTTCACTGATTTTTAACATATTCACAAATGTTTACTCCCATTCTATATGATTCTATTGTGCTTGGTTGGAAATTTCCATCACTTTGCTGCAACTTATTGTGTGATGTCATTCCATTTACTAAATTTTCTGTGGTTTCCTACCTTTGTTGTAAAATAAGGAGAAACTGTGAAACCCAATTCAAGAACCTTTTCCCATGTTTTTGTATAGAAATTTTATTGTTTTAGGTGTACACTTAGGTATTTCATTTGCTGTGAGTTGATTTTTTCATCAATGTACTATAAGGGTTGCCTTTTATACTTTGGCTTGTAGATATCCAGTTTTCCAACATTTTTGAAGAGTAATTTTTCCTTATTTGACATTATTGTTGTCTTAGCTACATTGGTCTCTTTGCTGGGACAAATACTGGACACCCAAAATGAAGGAAGGAAAGGTTTATTTAGCTCACAGTTCCTGGAGGTTTCAGTCCATACTCAGCTAGCTCCAAGGCAGTGGGGATCAGATTAGAAAGCAGCACTTCATGGCCCCCAAACAGCAGCAACAACAAGGAGCAATGGCTACAGAAAGTCTGTCTCTCTGTCTCTTATATTACATTCAGGCTCTCTGACACAGGCTAGGTGAAGTACTCACACCCATAATCCCAGCAGTACTAAGACCCATAATCCCAGCCTTGGATCATACACAATCCCAGTGGATCATGAGTTAATCACAGATTCTAGAAGTCCCCACCCCAGGACTGCGGGAGGCTTTGAGGGGACAACTAGATACAAGCCATAACACTTGTTTTTGAAATTAAAAAAAATTATAGGAATTCAACAGTGGTTGTTAGATTGCCTATTGTTGTCATCGCATTAGTTGTTCAGATTAATAATAAAAATTGTTTTTGAAATTTATTTATTTATTTGTTTATTTATTTGTATGTTTGGTAAAGTGTCTTGCTCTGTAGCTTGGAGGTGACAAAACCCAGGTCATTGATCTTACCAGGTAATTGCTTAGAGCGCTGAACGATCTCTCCATTCCCATTCTTAACTCTGTGCTCACGACACATATTTCAATTTTTTGGTCCTGTATTCTGTTCCATTTGTCAGTGTGTCCATTTCTACGCCACTACCACTGACTGCCACAGCTCTGCAATGTAATTCTAATTATAAATGCATTATACACATCTAGTTTTCTAGTCATAAATTCCTTGGTTATTTGGGTTCTTTCATAGTCCCATAGAACTTCAGGGGTTTTTTCTCTTTCTGTGGAAAATATATTTCAAATTTTGTTGGCACTGCATGAGTCTGTAGGAAACTCTGCATATAGTGTGGATATTTTATCCATACTCGTCTACGTAATAACAAAAGAACTCACGTCTTCTTCAATTACTTCTCCCATCTCTCATTGTATTCTGTGTATATGATCTTACATCTTTGAATTAATTTATTTCTGCAAATTTGACACTGATATCATTGTAAATAGATTAATGATTTCTGCTCTGTGTCGCTCATTGTTAGTGTTCAGAAATATCACCTGGTTTTTTATGCTAATTATATTCTGGACAAATTCACTGAATGTAGTAGGTTTTTTTTGTTTTTGTTTTTGTTTTCTGGAGTCTTTAGAACTCTGTATGTGAAATCAATCTCATGCAGGTTATTTACTTACTTTCTGAAACTTAGAGGGGTTTTGTTTCTTTATCTTCCTTTATGGCTTTGACCTGGACTTTGGACATTCTCACATACACCCAAAATAATCTCAGGGTGATTATGAATACATCACATGCCTTACAAGACATGCTAAAGGGAGTTTATCCACCTGAAATAAGATGGAATTCGTTAGTAACACAAAACCCGAAGTAAGTATAAAAATCTCCTACAAAAGTTTATGTATGATGTTGTATAAAATGATATGCCATATGTATAACACATAAAAGTATTGTCTAAAACAGGGTTGAACACAAGGCATTCTACCCCCAGCTACATTTACAGAACTTCTCTTCTATTCTTTCATTTTCATTCTTTCTTCATTCTCTTTTATTTTTTTTACTTTTTACTTTGAGAAAGGATATTGTTCAGGCACTAGGTTGCCCAGGTTAGCCTTGAGTTTGGGATTCTCTTGCCTCAGCCACTCAGGGTATGCGAATTACAGACAAGAGCTACCATGCCAGTTAGACAAAGTACATGACAGAAATATTCAAGTTGGTGTAAAATTTTAAAGAAACAAATATTCTCCATACCTGTACCAACAATAATTTGCTAATGGTTACCAATAAACAATGCCACCCATGTACAGACATGTACGTTTTCTCAGTCTGATCTGAATTCAAAATGTACCATTTGGGGCCAGGGAGATGACTCAGTGAAATAAGCACTTTCCTGGAAAACACCAGGGTCTGAGTTCAATCCCCAGTTCCACCAAACGAAAAAAAAAGAAAAGTCCCATTTTACACAAGTTCAAATAATGTTCACTAGGAAGCTTACTAACATTATTCTCTCTAGCACTAGTTTCTAATGTCAAGCAAGCAATACCAGTACATTTAGTATCTAGTTCAAATGCAACATGTACAAGTACAAAACAGTCATAAAATGTCCCATTAGAGAAACATCATCACCTATAATATTTCTATGCTTTATCTTGGATTTACCAACAAGATGTTGACCAACTCTATAATAAAACCATGAAAAGACAAATCATAAGCAATAAAACAAACAATATGAGACAAAGCAGTAAGAGGCAAAGTTGGAACAATTATGGACAAGGAACAAAAGACATAGCACCATTTGAAGCATAAAAGGTTGTTCCCGATACCAATCCCAATGCAGAAACTATGAAAGAAAAACAAACTCATACATTTGCCTAATGATCTCTGTGGTGACCTCAAAATGACACAGGGTAAAAATGATGTTGGTGGACAACCCCCAAACGATATGGGGAAAAAATGATCTCCAGACCTTAAGGGTACCTGGGATGAGTTCGTGTTCTCTAAACTCGAAGCACGAATTTTAGAAACAAAGGGAGGTTATGAGAAGAGTATATTCATTTGGGGGAAAGAAAGCTCCTGTCTAAGAGAGGAAAAGGAGGAGGGCCCCGAGTGGGTGGTCACCCAGAACCATGAATAACATGGGAGAATACATTAAAAGTTGGATCCAGTAAGGGGAAAATTTTGTACGCAATCAACGATTGTTATCCACTTAAAATAGACATTTGCAACTTTTTTGTAGGAGACTTACCATAATAACAAAAATATACTATATATTCAGAAACATACAACCAAGAAGCAAAATATGCTACTGTAGAAAGTCATCAGGTTACAGAGGAAAAGAGAAAGAGGGGAATAAAATAAAGAAGGGATGACAACACAGCCAGAATGACACACACAATATAACCCAAAATACTTACC